CCTCCATACTTATTCTTGACTCTGAACAACGAAATATAGAATGCTTACTTACTGCATAACGCGCTACCTTAGAAGCTAAAATAAATATATTTACTATCACCCTTTCTATCGCTCATAATAGAAATCTGACGTTGGCTTTCATCCCAACCAATTAGATTAAAAATGAATTAATATTTCCTCCTTCCTAAGACAAAATTAACTTAACTTGTCCTAATACTACACACTTTAATTTACATCTACACCCTTTTCATCGTAAATATGACGTATATGACAGAAGGAAGTCAAAATATTTAACCTTGTAAGTTGAAAGCGTCACTCCTGATGCGCGTCGAAGGAAGTCTTTCTTATACTGCCTCTGTTTACCATCAGAGATCCTGAGTATAACTGTATTTGTGTAGTATAGGGAGCATCTGTATAAGGGTATGGTATAAGAAATAGAAAATATATACAAAGTACTTGATTTCTATAAGAGTGGCGAAAACAATTCACATCAATTCATAAAATCAACATAATGAGTTTCTATTTTTATATACGTAACATAGGATGTATAATATAATGATTTAACTGTTATAAAGTGATGGTTTGATAGATTAGGCTTGCCATGATACAATAATAGAACCCCGAGGAGGTCAGCCCGGCTGGAATGCGTACCAATTTTCTTGCTTATACTAATATTCCCAATGACTTAGGTTTCCAAGATGTGGGCGTTTGGCATGGCATTGCTGGTGGGTGTGGGGTGGCCACCTGAATGGAACCCAAAAATTCAGCCAGGTTATTCCAAAAGCGTACCATATATATATATATATATATATATATATATATATATATTATATATATATATATATTATATATTATGTATATATATATATATAACTATATATACATATATATGTATGTATATAAATATATATTATATATATATATATATATATATATATATATATATATATATATATATATATATATATATATATATATATATACGCACACACCACACACACACACACACACACACCACACACACACACACACACACACATATATATATTATATATATATATATATATATATAATATATATATATTATATGTATGTATATATATACATTATATATACATATATATATATATATATATTATATTATATATTATATATATATATATATATATATATTATATATATATATATATATATATATAGAGAGAGAGAGAGAGAGAGAGAGAGAGAGAGAGAGAGAGAGAGAGAGAGAGAGAGAAATGAAAACAAATTATAGATTACAGGAGACTTTTTCAAATTTTCGAGTATTTTTTTTTTTTAATATTCGTCGCGACGGCCCCCTGAATGTTTTGATTTTTATTTGCTGTACTTGTGAGCTTCTACCTCTTGGGTACTAATAGGGTGTCTGGCAAGGGTACCCCACCGCATAAAATGTCTGTCATTGGCTGCTTTTGGTACATAGGTATCTATTTAACATTTTGCAATGTTTCATTTGGTACGCATGTGAGCTACCCTAGCACAATAGTGGGACGGGGTACTAATAGGATGTCTGGTAAGGGTACCCCGCAAAATGTCTGTCATTGGTTGTTTTTGGTGCATCGGCATGCAATCAACATATTGCAATTAGTTTCATTTAGTACGTGCTTGAGCCACCCTAGCCCATTTTCATGAAGCCACTAACTTTGTCTGTCTGACCACAGCCCCCCATCCAAAATGTCTTTCAGATTTATGGTATGTGTTTGGGGACAGGTATCATCAAATCTGGGGTAATTTCAAGTGGTACGCTTTTGGAATAACCTGGCTGATTTGGGGGGTTCCATTCATGTGTCCCTCCTGGCCACACCCACCAGCAATGCCACGCCAGACGCCCACATCTTGGAAACCTAAGTCATTGGGAATATTAGTATATGCAAGAAAATTGTTACGCTTTTCAGTCGGATTGACCTCCTCGGGCTCCTGGTCTATAACAACAATATCGTATTGATGACACTATTGATATTGATAACGCTTTTACAAAAGTCATGCACTGGTAGTTTTATTATCATTATTATTGTCATCATTATTACTGTTATCATTGTTATTATTAGTTCTATCATTGCTATTATCATTCTCAGCATTACTGTCATCATTATTACTGTTATCATTATCATTATCATCATCATTACTATCATTATCAATCTCATTATTATTGTCATCATTATTACTGTTATTATAATTATCATAATCATTATTATCATCATCATCAGTATCATTACTATTAATATCATTATCTTGATTACTGTTATTATTATCATCATTATCATTATTATCATTATCATGATTAGGATTATTATTATCATTATCATGATTAAGATTATTATTATCATTATTACTATTACTATTGTTATTATTATTTCTACGACTATTATCATTATAATTATTATTATCATTATTGTTGTTACTATTATTATTATTATTACCATTATTATTATCATTATTATCACCATTATCATTATCATCATTATTACTATTATCATTATCATTAATATCATCAATGTTATAATTTTCATCATTGTTATTATCAGTATTATTATCTTTATCATTACTATTATTATTATAATTACTATAATTATTTTATTATGATTTTTATCATTATCATCATAATCATTATTAACATTATTATTAGCAATCCTTATTTGCATTATTACTGTCATTATCTTCATTGTTGTTGCTTTATTATCATTATTGCTATTATCATTATTTTCATCCTTATTATAATAATCTTTATCATCATTATTACTATCATCATAATTATCACTAGCTTTTTTACCATTGGTTGGATTGTTATCATCATCATTTGTATTCTCCTTATCGTCACTGCTATAATTAGTATCATTATCATTATTTTCATCATTGCTAAAATTATCATTATTATTATCATTATCATTATAATGATTGCTATCTTTTTTGCTATTGCAATTTTCATTATTATTCAGTTGGCAATGTTTCTTTTATCATTATCATTATTACTATTTTTATGATGCTGGTGATGATTACTATTATCATTATCATGTATATTGCCATTAGTGTTATTGTTATTTTTACGATAATTATTGTTATTGTCATTATCATTATTTTAATCATTATTATTATCATTATCATTATTATTATCATCATTATAAACATTATCATTATCACTATCATTATTCCTATTGTTATTACTTTTATCATTATCATTACCATTATTGTCACAATCATTACTATTATCATCATTAGCATTATATTATCATTATATTATTATTATAATACATTATCATTATATCATTATCATTATTATCATTATTATTTCGTTATTACATTACTACTATCATTTTCATTATCATTATCATTACTGTTATCATTATTCTTATTGCTATCACTAATATCATAATTATCACGATGATTATTATTATCATTATTATCATTGTCATAATTATCATCACCATTATTACTGTTTTAAGAATTATGACATTTATCATAATAACTGTACTCTTACAGTATTATCATTATCATCATCGTTACAAGTATCTATACATTATCATTATTCTCTAGCACTATTTTCATCATTTATTCTTCTGTTACCAGTCTCCATTAACCCTAACATTTAAAAAGAAAAATAAATAAAGAACCTGAATGAAAAAGGAGGATAAGGCGGTTGTAATTCTCAACACGGATACAAGTAATCTAATAATAAATCATACTGATGTCCAGTCATTCCATCTTCCCTGTAATTGAAAATAGATTGTTCATTTGTCCTAGAGACAGGATCACATGATTTACGTGTTCATTACACAGATATCGCCAATGTGAAGATCTCCTGACTTTCTCAACGCACAAAGGCACTCCAGTGACTTTTTCTGACCAATCACAGCGTCGGTTCAAAGAAAGGGGCGTGGCTACTGGATGGACGTGTGTGATGATTTTGTTTATAAGATATTTCGTTTGGTGAAGAGAGAGTTCTTACACTTACGGTATTAGGAATGAAGGTAAGAGTAAATTGATTTGCTGTAAATTATCAGTATCTGCATTGGTTAAAGGTCTGTATTACTTCACTGATCTCACTTTCTTCAAATGTTTAACAGATTGTTCAGGGGGGGGGGGGGGCTCTAACTGCAGCAACTATTATGACCTCCTCATTTTGAAATGGTGTTTTCAAAAATATTTTGACGTGGAAATATACGTTTGTGGAGTAAATATAACATGGAAACAGAAGTTGGGCCATTTGATAAAGGTGTATGCGTGTAAAGAATATCGTATACAGTTTATTCGTGTTTTTTATGTATATAATTGGAAAGTTTCAATTATATTTTTTTGTATTAAATTTTTTTTATCCTTTTACCTCTATCAAAGACGTCATATCTTTTTGCATGTACAGGTTCACGTCTTTCCTCGAGTGGCTGCGTGTCTCCTGCTCTTGGTGGCCGCGCAGTGCTTCCAAATCACCTCTACCCCTACTTCTACCTCTGCTTCTACCTCTACCTTTGCTTCTACTTCTACCGCTGCTTCTACCTCTACCTCTGCTTCTACTTCTACCGCTGCTTCTACCTCTACCTCTGCTTCTGCTTCGATTCCATCTCCCCCAGAAACTGAACTTTCCAGTACATCCCCATCGATACCCATATTGATTTCAACCACTATCCCTTCCACCCCTCTTCTACCTCTACGACCAACCGGCCCTTCTACACCTCCACTACCTGCTGACCGACCTACTTCACCACCTCACCACGATTCACTACCCGCTATCCAAACCAACATCCACCACGAAAACCCACCACCCTTCGTCTCCACCACGACCACCGACCCTTCCACCACCTCCACTTCACGACCACGACCCTTCCACCCACTTCCACTCCACCACGAGACCCAACCACATGAACCCCCTCTTACCACGACCACCGACCGCTTCCACCAACCTCACCCATACGACTTGACCCTTCACCACCTCAAACCACTACCACGACCACCGGACCCTCCCACCACCTCCACACGACACTGACCCTTCCAAACCCTCCACGACCACCGAACCAATCCATCCCACCTGACCACTTCATCATTCCTGACCCTTCAAAAACATCCACCCACGACCCGACCGTTCCACCACTCCACCACGACACCACCGACCCTCCACCACCTCTACCACGACCACCGACCCTTTCCACCACCTTCCACCACGATCACTGACCCTTCCAAACATCACTCCACCACGACCACCGACCCTTCCAAACATCACCACGACCCACCGACCCTCCACCACCTCCAAACCACGACCACCGACCTTCCACCACCTCCACACGACGACTTACCGACCCTTCCACCAGTCCTCCACCACGACCACCGACCCTCCCACCCTCCTCCACCGGGACCCTTCCAAAACATCCACCTACGACCACCGACCCTTCCACCAACCTCCACCAACGACCAACCGACCCTTCCACCACCAACCACGACCCTTCCATCGGCGACCCTTCCACCACCCCTCCAGACCACGACCACCGACCCTTCCACCACCTCCACCACGACCACCGACCCTTCCACCACCTCCACCACGATCACTGACCCTTCCAAAACATCCACCACGACCACCGACCCTTCCACCACCCCACCGACCCTTCCCCACCTCTACCCACCCGACGACCACCGTCCACCACTTTCCACCAGACCACCACCACCGACCCACCACTACCACCGACCACCGACCCTTCCCACCACCTCTACCACACCGACCACCGACCTTCCACCCTCCACCACCTCCACCACGACCACCTGACCCTTCCACCACTCTCCACCACCGCCACCTGACCCTTCCACCACCTCCACAGACACGACCACCGACCCTTCCACCACTCTCCACCACGACACACCCTCCACCTCCTCTACCCGCCCACCGACCCTTCCACCCACCTCCAACGCACGACCACCGACCCTTCCACCACCTCCACCCACGTCACGACTCCCTACCATCCACCACGATCACGACCCTTCCACCACCTCACACCATCGATCATGACCCTTTCCGAAACATCCACCACGACCTACCGACCCTTCCACCACCTCACCACGACCACCGACCCTTTCCACCATCTCCACCACGACCACGCGACCCTTCCACCACCTCTAACCACCACCACCGACCCTTCCACCACCTCCACCCACGATCATTGACCCTTTCCGAAACATCCACCACGGGACCACCGACCCTTCCACCCCACCCTCACTCCACGACCACCGACCCTCCACCACCTCCACCCGATCACCGACACTTCACACCACCTCTACCACGACACCGCCCTTCCACCACCTCCACCACGATTCACCGACCCTTCCACCACCTCTACCACGACCACCGACCCTTCCACCATCCACCCACGATCATTGACCCTTCGAAACATCCACGACGACCACCGACCCTTCCCCACCTCCACCACGACCCTTCACCACCCTCCACACGATCACCGACCCTTCCACCACTCTACCACGACCCACCGGACCCTTCCACCACCTCCACCACGAATCATTGACCACCGAACCATCCCACGTCCGACCCCCGGACCCTTCCCCCACACCTCCCCACACGATACCACCGACCCTTCCAACCACCTCCACCACGACCCGGACCCTTCCACCACCTCCACTGACGACACACCGTGGACCTTCCATCCACCACCCTGACCCTTCAACCACTCCACCATGACCACCGACCCTTCCACACCTCCATACGACCACTGCACCTCCCACCACCTCCACCACTGACCACTGACCACTTCCACCACCTCCACCATGACCACCGACCCTTCCACCAACCCTACCACTCCACCATGACCACTGACCCTTTCCCACCTCCACATGACCACCGACCCCCTTTCCACCACCCCCACTACGACCACTTAAACCCTTTCCACCACCTCCATCATGACCACTGACCCTTCCACCACCTCCACCATGACGCACTGACCCCTTTCACCACCTCCACCACTCACCACACCCTTCCACCACCTCCACCATGACCACCGACCCTTCCACCACCTCCACTACGACCACTGACCCTTCCACCACCTCCACCATGACCTCGAACCCTTCCACCACCTCCACTTGAGGCCTGATTACGACCACTGACCCTTCCACCACGCTGCCACCATGACCACCGACCGCTTCCACCACCTCCACTAACGAAGACCAATTGACCCTATCCCGCCACCTCCACCAAGCACCACTGACCTCTTCCGAACATCCACCAACGACCACCGAACCCTTTCCAACCGACCTCCCCACACGACCCACTGCAACCTTCCGAAAATCCACCACTGGCAACCACCGACCCTTCCCACCCTCCACCACTGCACCTTGGACACTTGCCGAAAACATCCACCACGACCCACCGACCCCTTCCACCCACCCCCTCCTGTGGTCCACCACGGACCACTGGACCCTTCCAAAACATCCACCACGGTATGATCCCTACCATACGACCCTTCACCCCAAACCCTT